ATGTGTAGGACAAGTTGCAAAAATATTCGGACAAGAGAAACATCCTGCTTTGGAGTTCCAAGAGAGAGCAAATGGTCATAGGAAGACTTGCTTATCGATGGTAAGAAGAGAATTAAATATCTGATGCATCATGATCGATGAAAATAACCAGAAAACAGAAGTCTGTAGCGAGTCTTGATGAGGTCTTCATCCAACAGCGGATCAACAAAGGCTGATGATGATGACGATGAAACTTTTCGCGATGGATAAAGAAGATGGTGCTGCAACCAGGCGGAAGTCATCCTCTGTAACCGTGAAGATGGTCGATGAAAAAGATATAAATAAGTACGGAACACTAAACCCATTGTGTCCACAAACTACAGTAACCACAAGTGTTCTATTTCTCGAATATTCGAAAGGCACATGAGCAGTCATAGTACATGAAAAAGCGTATAAATCGAACGACCTGATAACCACTGATTGTGTCAGAATTGCAGATAGCGTGGGGAAAGGTAAGACGAACATAGTTGCCCAGAGCTGATGAGAGTTCGAAGAATTTAGTGTCATAATATACGACTGTACCCCAGAGAAGTGCAGATGATGTTGGCCACCTCTCTCTCCCTCGCATTGTACGGTATGGTCAGCATAGTCTGGGCTTTCTTGCGTTACCGTCCTTTGGCACGAATTTTATCACAACTTTCGCAATGTCTCTATAACAGAATCTTACGTTTTCACGTTACTTGCAGTTCCAGCTGTATTAATTGTTGCCATGTTATCAGTTGCATCCGTTTCTTCACGTCATATGCCTGTTCAGCGCCTTTCCTTTGATATGATGAAGAGATTCAGTCGAGCACTGCGGACTGCATCGTACAGTCGCCTTTCTGTCGCACAAAGTGACTAAAATGCGATATCCTTCAGAACCATAGTTTTGGAACAGTGAGGATTGCGAGGTAGGTTTTTTAGATCCCTTATCTAGTCTTTCGCTTCAGATGAAGTCTTCGTAATCTAGAGATGATTATTGTGAAAATACTGATAAGACTGGCAGCGAAGACCGGTGAATTCATGTTTAAACAAATGATAATCATGTAGTTCTGGCAAAAGTCGAGAAACGGTCGCCAATGCAGATGTGAGCTTTATTGCCTCCTGGCCTCAAGTCTGCTTCGACTGATGTCACATAGTTGCGGCTGCATGATTGGCTTTGTAATAACTTTTGATAGAGTAACTTCAAAACGACAATCAGATGTATACCAAAGACACATAGGAATTTAGAAGAACTGCAACTCTCGCATGCAATACTGTAGCATTGACCCTTCACTACAATATGCTTCTACCATATAAATGTTGGCCATTGTCAAGGCAAACCTATAATCATTGATTTTTAACAATTCATTTAGGAGTGTAGCGAAACGATAAGCAGGAATTTTTAACAACCTCCTCTCATAATTTATGAAATGTGCCGAAATGGCTGGCAATACATATCAGCCGTCCTCAAGAGTAACCCTTTAACGTTGCTGAATTACCAATCGAACCATGCGTTAGAGAAACAACTCAAATATTCAGCTCACATGACGACCTTTAAATGCATTGCTCAGGTGCGGTTCGACAATAGCTTGGAAAAAGTGTTCGACGACGGAAAGCCAGGCATTGAAGGAAAGTTGGAATCAGCGGACGATCGCGAAGGCAATGCTGCTCCCAAGAAGTTGCCAAATAAAATGGTTCCGTACGAACGACCAAGTAAGTCAAGGGCGCCTGTAGATCTGTCAGTGTTTAAATAAAACTGTTTCAAGACTGGAAGAAAAAACTTTTCCGTGACGTCAGAAAAATAATATCAGACGACTGGATGTTCCTCACACTCCTCGGAATTTCGGTAGCGCTTTTGAGTTTCTGCATGGATTACTGTATCGAGCGGATACTCAAAAGTATGACTTTAAATGATAAAATAATTTATTTCGAGACAACAAACAGTAAAATTGTACCAGCGTGTATTTCACTGAGCTTTAAATGTTACTGTGTTCTGCCATATCGATAAATGATGTTTACAGATTGGCACGGATCATGCGATGATTCTGACGGCCATTGTAGGGTCAACCAAACTAATAAACAAAACGGGAAATGATGGCTATTCTTCAACACTGTTCAAGTGCTAACCCCTTGTTACTTGCAAATGGCTGAAGTAGATCATTTTTCACTTTGTTTCTCAAATGGAGGTTCTTACTAGAGGCGAGAGCTTTATAACCTAGAGTTTAAGAATAATTTTAAAATTACATTGACAGTGACATAAATTGACGCAATATTTTCCTCAGAATCCCAATGCATCACAATAGCTTCCTTCTTTACCTGGAGAGTTTGTTATTTTAAACATGTAACAAGTCACGATGGTCAGTTTGAGATGTAAAACTGAAAAAAGAAAATTGTACCCGTTGGAATTTCAATCTTTTTTCTACTTCAGTGATGGCGTAGTTCTTATCGAGAAGTTAATCGGGAGGGAGGAGGCACTGTTCCTCATTTCAGCATCAATAGCAAGGAGTGATATTTTAAAGACAGAGTCAGCAGCGGCTGTGGCAAGCATATTGTATAGTATCCTATTTCACTCCCACAGAACGGAACTCATTTATCAACCATGTAAGGAAGAAGGGCGAATGACCCAAACCAGGACTCCAACCCAGCGCCTCTCGGTCATGAGTCCATTTACTGACTGAGCAACGTGCGGTAAATTAGTTGCTCGACGGATTCGACCGAGATTGCTTCTACTGGAATCAATCCCAGCATCTCCGGAGTTTTAAGCCGGCCTCCTACGCACTGTGCCACACGTGACACTGCTTGGCTGCAGACTGGCAGTGTCGAAGTCTACAATGCGGAGAACACAAATTTATGGGACATCATCGGTTTTTCTTGCGAGTGATTTATGATTGAAAGGAGTGGGTCAGTGAGTTTGACTTTCAGTTCAACGCTGCCTTATATTGCAGTTCTGTCGAGAGAAAAGGACACTGTGATATCAGACATCAAGCTCCGTGCTGTTCTCAGTTAATAATTCCACTATATCTTATCGACCCATGGATTGAGAAAAAAATATTAAGGTGTAAATATGCTATGCGTTTCGTTACAATGCAACCAGAAATGGATGCGGACGAAAATAAATGTTTATGCAACGCCAAAGCTAATACGGATGAGATCTTCAGGTTCATGGGAAGTTATTCATTTTATTCTGTCGTACAAACAACCAATCCAATCGTATTTTTCTACGTATGCTAACATGATTAATATTCACTGCACATGACATTCGTAAAGTAATGGCAGATATCAGTAATCGTTGGGTATTCTTTCCAAGTGCTAGTTGCAGTTGTCATTATCTGTACCGAGTTAATACACAACTTATTAACTCAAACTAAAATTAACAGTAGTCGTACAATAGCCAGGTAAGGACGATCGTGGGCTGCTTCTCACAGACCCATTACGAGCAACCAAACAATTACTGGCAGTCTCAAAAATTGATGCTTTTTAAATAATGACTAACTATATGGTCCGAGATTCAGCACCTGGTGCAAACTTACGTTTAGTGCGAGTGTGGATATACGAAGAGGCAGCTCTTATTAACGATTTCTTGGCTTACCTCGCTTGGACTATGTTATGCCTTCTGCTGGTGGTTGGAAGTGCTTTTTTCAGCCATATAGTTGCCGCTCAAGCAATAGGTTAACGTTTGAGTAACGCAAGAAAGTGATTTTAATACTGCATGACTTTAGGATCTGGTATACCTGAACTGAAGACGATACTCAGGGGAGTCTTGCTGAAGGAATATCTAACGTTTAAGACGCTTGTCTCAAAAGTTGTTGGTCTAACGATGAGCCTTGGAAGCGGCCTGCCGATCGGAAAAGAAGTTTGTTAGCTTTCTGCCTTATTTTCGCTTTCAGTGAGGTAAATTCGAGTCTTTTTTTAGGGCCCTTTTGTACACATTTCAAGCATAATAGCAACTCTGCTCAACAAGGGCCTTGGGTCGCTAAGGAGCATAAATGAGGTACGACTTAGTAACTCTTACTGCTTACCGCATGCTTGAAATTTAACGGACTGAATAAAATGAAACTTGTCGTTTTTTCCTTGATCCACTCTTAGCCTAGTTGTTAATAATGACTGATCTCCAGTGCTCACAACAGTATAACTTTGCATTTTTTCATCTCTTGAAATTTCTACCATAACGAAGGTATTGTGTTCAGAACGAAAACCGCGAAGCTGAGATGTTGGCAGCCGCATGTGCCGTTGGAGTAGCCTGCACCTTTGGAGCCCCTGTTGGTGGTAAGCAGATATTTTTCTTTGTACTGAGGAAAGTAAGCTTGATGTCTATCACTGGTAGGGTCTTCTACCTGGTTGCATTCATTTAGATTTGACACGAAATCCTTTATCTGACCGTTTGACACCAGTGATTGCGTGCTCTTCGAATTGTTTGCGTGATCAGCAAGAAGGGTTGCAGCCTGTAGTCTGTAATCTGTTGCCTTCAGTATTATTTATTTATGTCGAGCTTAAAGAAGAAATATTACATGAAGAAGATGTGTGATTCAGAAATCATACACAAAAATAATATTCACATTCAAAATGCTTTGTTGAGATACTCTCGTATCGAGCAAGATTACGCTGTCCATCATCAAGGTATACGCTGAGGTTCAGTTTTAAGTTTCTGCTCCAGTCTTGTTGAGTCACATCTCCGTTTTAAGTATAATAGCTTTAAATATCTGCTGGCCTCCCTCAGAGGGTTTGAACAGAAACGAATAAGAGAAAAATTCAGTGAAAACAACTTTAAAGTTCTGCTAGTTTTGACGAGAACGCAGGCAAAGGAATTTAACGAGTTTTTCGAGATTCTTTCAACAACGATAAGTCATTTTAAGCCTGGTATGACAATCTCTGCCAGCATATTTAAATAAAAATATAATCCTCTTTACTGTCAAACAGGAGTGCTAATTCGATCCGTTCAACAAGTATTCACCTATCTGTTGCCGATATTCTGAGGGTGAGGGAAGTGTGCACATACGGCGCATGTGCAGCATTTTACAAAACCAGTGGAGGAGTTTTTTGCCTCACTTCTCCGTGTTCAACCAGGGATAGTCCTCTATCAATGCAATGGATATCGCTGC